GCTCTTATAATCACTTGATGAGTTCTCAAACATGTTGTTTTCAAGTGTTTTGTTCTGATAAGTAATTGTTTGTGATGTTTATGATCTTGATTTCTTTAGTTATAGCTAGTTTCCTTTTATGTTTGTTATGCATTAGTTTTGCTTCAATGATCGATGGGTTGTCAGCATTCTATTTTGTCATGAATTTGGGTTTCTTTAATTAAAGTATGGGTGCGTCAAGTTGTTGGAACTTTTCTCTAATATGCTAATATGTCAGTACTATTTGTTGTACTGAACTATGTGTTTTGAGTTAAAACTAGCAAAAACATATCGATTTATTCTACGACACGTGAATAAAGGAATGAATACAAAGATTCTGAAATGGTCCGTATAACAAATGAAATAAATATAATTGATCCATGCCTGCTGAGGTGTATAAAAATTGTATAATAGTAGTGTCAGTGCATAGGGCAATGCTAGGCGCCGGCATGCCGGCCTAAAATTTCGGACGATTACTCCCTAGCCGTGCAATTGGCCTTCCTCCAACCGTTCTATTATTATCCTTTTAGGTCATCTTCCTCTCTCTCTCTCTTTCTCTCTCTCTCCCTTCTTTGTGCGTGTACATCGTCTTGCCCGCCGCGCGTAGAGGATGGGAGCAAGACAACAAAGCTCACCATATCAACGTCGCTCGCTAGATCGCCGCCGCTCGTCGGGTCGTGGCTGCTCACGACGGCGATGCCGCATGTTGTCTTCGACGATGGTTCTCGCCGAGGAACCTCCCCTGCCCACAATTTCTGTTGCAAAACTCGTCGTCGAACCGCTTGCAACTTCCCCGTCTGCCAGTGACAACTCTTGTCATCAACGCTCCATTGCTGCAGCACTCCGATGCGTCGCCCCTCACCGCCTGAGTTCCGCAAACAAAAGGGCACCAATCGCACCAGAGAAACGGATGTAGCAAAAAGACAGACGATCGTAGCAAAAAGCAACGGCGGTTGTAGCAAAAAAACGCCGTCGTCTTTGCCCGTGGGTTGCAGCTCCATCGTGAATGGACGTATCAAGAAAATCACCCGATCATAGAAAAATAACATGACAGTTGAAACAAAAAAGCGTTCCGCCGTCGCGGAGCTCGCAACTCATCAATCGATTGTTGCAACCTACAGAAAGAAAAGTTGGAACCGGCCACCGCAATGACGGCAAAAAGGTTGCAACCAGAGTTTCCGGAGCTGCAACCGTCACCGGGTGAAGATGCATCAATTGTCGGGGGTGATGCTGGGTCCGTGAACAGAGGAGCTGCAACTGTTCCATGGCGGACCTGCCACCGGCAGCGAGCTGGGAGCTGCCATGACGAAACAAATTGTTGCAGGTGGCATTGACAGTGCGGCGACTTCGAGGAGTGTGCCGAAGCGGGGGTGGGGGGAGCGGAGCAGTGGCTTTTCTGCAACTGCGGCAACCGCTCACGGTGGTGCTGCCACCGGCGACGAGCTGTGACATGGCGACGAGGTGGCTGTAGCACGTTGATGGCCAGACGGCGGCCAGCTTCGTAAAGGTGGGAGAGAGGGAAGAGTTAAGGCGCGCGATTTGTTTGCGCGTGAGTCCACTGTCCATCACGTATCGTGGCCAGAATAGCTAGGGGCTGCGCGCGTGGACGGATTGGCCGAAGCTTCGGCCGGCGCGCCGTCTAGAAACATTTTCCTAGTGCATATGGCTGCAGCGTTACGTAGTTGGTTGGATTTAAAAAAACAGCTACATGCATAAACTAGCTTGAACCACATAACTGTAAAATTTCTACCACAATCGGCATATTTGAAACTTAAGGCTGATTTAGTTATTCTTCATCACATATTGTTATATTGGTTGACATTATTAATAATCTAAGTCCATACTTTACCATAAAAACTTTGTTCAATATTTATAGAACATTTATTCATTTTTATCACTTTTATTTAGGAGTGCTGGCGTCCTGATACAAATTGCAAGTCCATTTGTACGCGAGAAAAACAATATGCATTTGTATATTCCCTAGTGTGTTACCGCGATGTAGGGTTAATTAGTCCGTGTGGGCCTGATAACCTCCTTTTGATGGTTTGCGCCAATCTTTAAAATAGGCGCCACACACAAATCCCTGTAAAATCAACCAGAAGATGTATGGTTTTGAGTGGAGAAAAGTATATTTTTCGTCCTTCACATTTTGACGAAGTCTAGATTTAGTTCTTTAACTTTAAAACCAGACAACTTGCAACTCTAACTCTTAAAACCGGACAAGTTTAGTCCCTGAGGTTGTTTATGTGCTGACTCAACCCGGTTTTGACCAATCGCAAATTAAACACAACGTCCACCTCATCATCATCTTCTTACTGGTGTCAGGCATTTTATCGAACACTTCGTAGGCAGAGAATGCTCGTCATCTCGTCCATCCCGACGGCCATGCTGCTCTACCCCCGCATGTCCAGCAGCGCCGTCCGGAGACCCCATTGCTGGCGGCCAGGAGCATCCCGCGGGGGCGGTGCTGACGGTTGGAAAGCTGGCTTGCACGGCATGGATATAGCGGTGGAACGGCGGGGCGGCCGCATACAGTAGCGCGAACCATGCCGTCGTCGTGGGCGCACCCAAACCGGCCATAGAAGCTTCCCGAGCAAGGTGCTGGAGCTTGACGCCCGGGTGCCTCGACTCCGCGGCCTGGCCCTTGCCCCAGCGCGTGCGCACCAACGCGGTCCCGGATGCGAGCACCGCGGGCTCGAGGGCAAGCACCACCGGTGGCGACGAACGCGTGGCTGCATGTCAGAAGTGGCGGGAGCGCGTTGTCCAGGCCCTCGGCGAGCATTCCACAGACAACGTCGAGGAGGTACACCACAGGTCTATCAGTACATGCACGCCGCCGAGCTCGATGCGTCCGGAGTTTGAGTATCTCGTCGTCGACCAGGCGGCGCTGGTTTCCAGAAGGGGGGCTCCAAAACGGCACGAACGTCAGCTTGGTCGCTTGCGTTACTGGCGAGCTCCTGTCTCGTACTGGTGCGGCCCGCGGTGGTGCGTGTAGAGGTTGGCAGGCAGCCAGGGGTTGTGCCATGGCGAGGTGCACGGGGTTAGCAGGGCTGTTGCACGCGGCCAGGGATGAGAAGGTAGTGGCGGCTTGGAGCGACTAGTAGGCAGCCGAGGATGCGGCCATGGTGACATATGGTGGCTAGCAGGACCACAATGGTAGGCGAAACATCCTATGTTTGATGAAATGCTCAAACTGACATAGGAAGAAGGAAGAAGAGATAGGGCCAGGTGGGAGAGAGAAATACTGCCACATGGACGAAAACCAGTCAAAACCACACTGAGTCAGCAGCGATACCGGGTTAGCCGAGACGAGGGACTAAACTTGTCCGGTATTAATATTTAGAGGTGCAACTTGCCCGGTTTTGAAGTTGAAGGACTAAATTTAGACTCCGCTAAGAGTTAAGGGACGAAAAGTGTACTTTTCTCTTTTGAGCGTAGGCAACATTTCTCTTGCACAAGACAAATTAATAGACTGACTTCCAGGCTAATCTAAACCTGAATGGTCACGCTCGCTTTGTTGTTGGAATGTACTAGTACAAGTTTATCTTGTTTTATCTTATTATGGTGTGGAACAAACTTAAAAATAGCTCTAATTAACTTCCCTCTTCTCCCTAGCTCGCTAGATGAGTGACAACTTAGAATAGTTCCCTGTTTGTGCATATGTTCATGTCTGGTCATTGACAAGAATGCTGTCATGCTAAGTAGTGTGGCAGATGAAATACTTTCCCTTCCTGTGCTTCATGGACACTTTTCTGTTTTATTTGTACTAGTTCCATGGCCTTTGAATGGTCTTTTAGTGGTTTTTGATTCATTAAGTACTAGATCGGGATCGCGCCCTGGCGCGAGGGTGCCGGTCCAAACGTGTTTGGTCAAGTAGTGAATGCTTAGCCAGTAGCAATACATGTATATCATATGTATTCATATATGGTAATAATACAACGAAAGAGAAACATTCAAACGTGATATAAGCGAGACATAATACCACTCAGAACTAGCATGAAACTATTAAGGCATAATCGATCTCAGTTCGTTCATTAGATTAAAAAAAAGTCACTCGACAGGAAGCTCGAAATCAAAAGCGCAGCCATTCGATACGATGGTTAATAACAAAAGTGATATAATATGAGAAAGTTATCAGAGCAGAAACATAATAAAGAAGAAGCAACTAAGCATGTTAACAAACATGACCAAATGAAACACCCTCAAGGTGAAGACAATTGTTGATCTAGTGAACCATAATGTATATGTGCCTTCCACTACCCTCAGAATTGTTACAGGGAACCTCACATGGATCCTGGCACACTTGTATAAATTTCTCTCATGCAAAGTGTCTAAAACATGTCTATGACCTCATTAGGCACCATCTTGTTGGCATGATTTCCCTATAGAAGAGCACACATGTATACTCTTGATAGGGCCCTCATCGAAGGAACCCCGCTGATACCATAGCCTGGAGATTCGCAGGTAGATGTGCTGGTTCCACACGGCCGAGAAAATGCTAGATAAGTCGACAAAATTGTACAGAAGCAGAGGGGGTTGGATAATCTATGGCACATATGAAAGAAAAACCAGTATTGGCACAAGTTTTAGGTAAGAATGATACTTGGACAGTAAATAAAAAACAACTGATTAGAGTTATTTCTCAGTTTAGATAGAATGGAAAGAACGAATGATTGTTTACATATAGCAGAATTATGTCTGAGTTCAGATAAAAAAGAAATAGGCACCGATTGTTTCCATATAGCAGAATAAATGCTAGGTGAGTAATTTGCTGATTCCAAAATAACATAATTAGATACATATCCATAATTAGTTAAAACCATTGAAAGAAATCATATATAGTATAAGCTGGAAGACATAATACGTCAAATCAGAAGGAGAAGCACTCTAGATAACAGCCATTCATTTGATAATCAGCAACATCAATATAAATGAGACCAATCTTTAACCGTAGTGTCCTATACAACACCCGGAAAACACAATTAGCTTACTATACCTATATAACTTTCTTGGAGAGGTCGAACGAGAGAAAGATGAAGGGTACCTGAACAATGGGGACGAGATCGCTTCTCTGGTGTGCCCCCGCTCCGGTCAAACCACAAGACAACCCTCCGCCACGGCACGGACCGAACTGCAAAATATCCAGAAACATCAATAGTCATCTTTAGTTCAGCTAGGTTGATATATGGCAATGGGAATCAAATAAGTTGTGTGTCTAGTATGCATCAGTATTTAGTAGTCAACTTTTTCTGCAACACTAAAGAAACTGAACTTCTAGTAAATTTTTCTCACCACCAAAGATCAATGCACTTTTAAAAAAATATCAATTTAGAAACCAAATGCATCACCAGAAAGATATAAACATATGGTTTAATATAAATATATATGGCCTGTTTGGATGCTGCCCGAGCCAACCTTGCCAGTCACAGGGGCACCAAAATTTTGGCAGAGCAATCGGCCGCCTGCTTCTCACCAAATAACTGGCGTGGAATTGAACTGAGATGTGGAGCTATCCTGGGCACGCCAAAGAATTGGCATCCATCCAAACACATAGCGACCACTCAGTCAACGACCAATTTTTTGGCACGGCGGCTCTGGGATCGAATCCAAACAGCCCCATAACAGAGCAACAAAGAAATTGTCCGCTGGGATTGAGCTGACCTAATGATAGGGCAAGATGATTTCCATATCGGATATGCACATCCCACAAAACTTAAACCGAGATTTAAGTGCCCAGATGCAATATCATGCATAGTTCTAGATAATGAACAATAGAGATTGATGAAAGTCTAGGTTCCACTTGTTCTTCAGAAACCAAGAACAAAATGTACAAAATAACAAAATAATATTTTTTTCCCTTTGTAACAGGGTAGGCCATGCGAATTCTGCATCATGCCAGTTCTGAATATGGTAGGGAGCTTTAATATATCAATTAGCTGAGGCATAGGTTGCATTTGCCTAATATATGAAGTATGTCAGATGTTAATAGATTAAGTAAATTACTTAGTACCATGGATTTCGGTGGTGAAAAACATAAAACACTCTATGTATACTGAATGTTTAATTAGACAAACTCAAACTATTATTCAGAATGTTACAGCCAAAAATAGTGTACCCAAGCAAAAAATCAGTGGCACTGAGATGCATGGTGACATCTTCTTACTGGCCTCCTTTCCAAAAGAAGTTCAATAAGCACTACACTAATAGACCAACTAAACATGAAATACACAAACATCGCGAAAACTAAAAAAATGCTATATACTTTCTATCTCCTATAGGACACTGATTTATGATAACAGAAATCCGAGGGTGAGCCCTCGTCGTTAAGTAAAACTATATATTTTCTATAAAAATTCTTGCAAGAGTAAATTAATAACATCCTTGCCTTCAAGTGAAACCAACAGTTTGGTGGACATATCAGAGGCGAGGGAAGAGAGAGTAAACAGAATATACATGCATTTTATTTCCTTCACAATTTGTGCTTTCATGCATAAAGAAGCAATGACTGCCGTTAGACTATCACAAAGAAACTCCAAGAAAATTAAACCGTAACAGTAGGAGACTGGAAACTAAAGAGGAAATATGTTGAGGCAGCCTCTATACAGTAGGAGGGATTAGCTAAATTCTTTTGCTTTTAAAAGAACTACCATAATGTGACTGGCATTGATCATTCACATGATCAAGTCATGTGTGTACCAAGACAAAATCAAATACATGGTACCGGCACATTGATGCATAAAACAAAAAGATTCCTTGCCTATTGGCATTACAGACCACGATTCCGCTAACAAAAGAAATGCAAAATTGGCATTACAGATCACAACTCCGCTCACTAAAATAATCAAGGGAAGTACAAAGAACATACACACACACACACACACACACACACACACACAGCATATTTGGGCTTAGTACAGCAGCAGAAACCAGAAGGACCAATAATAAAAACAGAGCATATTTGGGATTGATGAAGATTGCTCACCTTCTCCAGGAAGAACAGGCGGTCGATGAACTGCGTGGAAACCTCGTCCAGCTCCACAACATCGGTGACCTGCAGCGGTCAGAGATAGGGATGGTGAGCAGAAGCAGCGCGAGATTGACGGGGAGAGGAGTCCTGCGTCTTTAATCGAACGTGTCTCACCTTGAGGTCCTCGATGTCTCCGCAGCCCGTACTCTAAAGCAAGCTCGGCACAGGCACAATTTGCAAGATCCCGGGCATGAAATGAACGCCCAAAAGGGAGTGCAGCAACAACAGAAAGAAACGCTAAAAGGGAACATAGAGCAGAAACCAACCCAAAATGCAAGCAAGAATTTTTAGAAGGGAACATAGAGCAGCATGAGCATGAGGCATAGAAAAATGGGGTCACCTTAAGATCAAGAATCAGTGGCTCTCTCTCTCTCTCAGTTCAAATCAGAAGGAAATAACCACTATTATTTATACCACTATTATTGATTAGAGTTATTTGTAATTAGGCAAAGCACTACAACACTGGATCCTAAGCAACAGCTGAGGCATACAAAACTACAAGTGCTTGTTCTTTTCATAAATAAACAACCTTTAGTATCTCAACCAGAACCAAAGCAAAACAAAAATCATGGTTAAGTAACCAGCAAAGGAAGAATGAACCTTTTTTGAATTTTAAAGTAGCAAGACATGAAAAGTTCTTTATTGCCTTCAATACTACACACATTAGGGGAGGTAGCTGCAGTTCTATTGCATAGTGGGCTCAGATTCACCTTTCCTCGATCATATAACCTACCCCCATCATCTCTTATCACCAGATCAATCTGTTTATACAGTAGAGCTGCCCTGGTTATCACTCAACAAGAATGACCATCCAAGGACAGAACAATAAGTATCACAGGATCAAAAAGGATTCTAGAGACAAGAGGGAGGATCCAACTTGATACCCACAGGTGCTTTGATTGCTCAAAGGCACACTTATTTCAGCGACGGTTAATCATCATCACCCTAGCAAGGATGGCTTCCGACCGATGGGGCACGTGCGAATAAAAAGGGTTCAGGGTTCAATGCATATGGGCTCAGATTTGCCTTTCCTCATCATATAATCTACCCCCATCATCTCTTATCACCAGATCAATCTGTTTATACAGTGGAGCTGCCCTGGTTATCACTCAATAAGAATGACCATCCAAAGGACAGAACAATAAGTATCACAGGATCAAAAAGGATTCTAGAGACAAGAGGGAGGACCCAACTTGATACCCACGACTAATCATCATCGCCCTAGCAAGAATGGCTTCCGACCGATGTGGCACGTGATTCAAACGCGGTGGGGCAGGCTATTTACGCGCAGTGGCACGGTCGAGGTGAATCTGTTCATTGCAACAGTAACTATTTTTTATCTGACGGACGAGGTCACATTTGCAATAATTGTCTGGAAAGAAGAGTATATACTAATTTTTCAGGCAATGAAATAGAGTCACATTTGCAATAATTGTCCACAGTTTAATTGATCATAATCGACCGCATTCTTGACACTAAACAAATTCATAACCGCTAGTTTCCGAAATATGATGTTGTGAATATAATTAACCTTCATAAGAAAAGGAATAATTTCTGACCAAGAAATAGCTCACGACCACTACTCTCCATCACCACTATGAATCCACCCAAGAAATAGCTCAAGGATTAATTGGTACAGTTTCAGATGACATGTTTTATTTTCACCTTTCTATCTAAACTGTACCAAAACGTGATTTTGCTTCAAACGTGATGAGTCAAAACATGATGCCATCTGAAACTTAAGCATCCAGAGAGATGTGGGGTAGATGGGGGAAGGGAAGCTCACCACGTTGGTCTGTAGAAGATGTGACTGGACTGCTCTATCCGCTGTATATTTGTTTATATATATTCAGATTCAGAGGTGTTTGGTGCTGGATGTTGGCCTGGTGCTGCTGCTCCACCTCCTCTTCTCTGGCCGCTGTACCATCTACACCCGCAGCTTCTCCATGGATGGGACCCCTTCCTTCCTTGACACAAGCAGGGTAGAGGTTGCCTGCCTGCACATCGCACACACGCATCAGAGAAAGAAAGAAAACCAGAGGAAGAAGAAGAAGAGAAACGAGGGAAGGAGGGATCTGACCTAGGGCGCAAGACCGATGGCGCGAGGGCGAGCAGAGGCTACGGGTCGAGCACTCTGCGGGGTCGGAGCAGGAGGGCTTGGGAGCCGCCGCCGTGCCCGGGGACGAGCTCGCGGACGGGGAGGGCAGGCGCCCACTCGCCGTCGCGCAGCACTGTGGCGTGGTCGGAGGAGAGGAGACGCGTGACGGCGCAGCACACCGCCTTGCCCTGCTGCTGCTCCTCCCCGCTGCCACCGCCGTCGTGCTCCTCGTCCTCCCTCCGCTTTTGCTCATCGTCGTTGGGGAGGGGGGGCTTTGCTGCGGTGGATCTGGCCGCCGACGGCGTGGGGAGGCGGGTGGCGGCGGCGGCGGCGGCGGCGGCGATGTGGGCGGGAGGAGAGGAGGCATGCGGGAGGGGAGGCGAGGGGAGGGGAGGGGAACGAGAGAGAGGGAAAGGAGGCGCGCGGGAGGGGGAGGGGAGCCGGCTAGGGTTGCCTCCACGGGAGCCGGCCCTTTTATACCCCGGGCGAGTGAAATGACGAAAATGCCCCCGGCGGGGCAGGCTATTTACGCGCGGTGGCACGGTTGAGGTGAAACTGTTCATTGCAACAGTAACTTTTTTTTATCCGACGGACGAGGTCATTCCAGGGCTCGATCCGATGGCCCAGATCCGATCAAGCACGTAGATCCAACGGCCAGGAATCCAAACGACTGAGGAGCCGGGAGGATCCTCCGCATTCTTATTTCTGGATACCCATGGCCTAGTGTGATTTGTATGTTTCCCCACCGCATAGTTAACTAGATGATACCCCGTGCGTTGCTGCGGGTACGTGTAGGTCTATCTCTATAAAATTGCACATATGATATAAGGGTAGACATTGAGTAATATAATGTAGAATAAGAGCTAAAAATAGATTTTCTTGCTAAGTTCTTAGTGCTTTGCAAAAATGGTTTACTTTAATCTGCACAAAAGTCCTATTAAATTTTCTAACGATTAATCATCTAATGATTAACTTTGGATGGAACTAACCACAATATAACATTGAAAGGAGCCGTAAATTTAATCTGCATAGAATAAAAAAGTGTGACCTTATTCTTTAATATATTTTTCTTGGGAAAGGGTCGCCATGTACCTCTTGCGAGGAACAATGGAGCTATATATATATAAGTTGAAATAGACAGAAGAAAAGATACATATTTTGAAAGATAAATGAATTGCTATAAGTCAAGAAAGAGGAGCAATTGCCTCCAATTAATTTAGCAAGCAAGTAGTGGAACAAAACAACAGAGGAGAAAAATACAAAATGGTTACACATTATGCCCCAAGTGTTGAGCTTCATGGCTGTCGGTTAGAATCTCTTGCCCGTAAACTGCAGCAACACAATGACCTATTGATGCAAAATCAAAGAGAATGAAAAAACATGATACGTTAGATGGCAAAAAGCTAAACTAAGAAAAAGTAATAAGATATGTAGGAGGGAGATGGAAGAGACATCCCGTGGAAGTACTAGTGACTCAAAATGTATAGCCAGTGTTGCAGCCGGTGTAGACCGTTGACGGCGGTCTGGTGGTGGACCTTTTTTTTGCGAATAATGTTGTGGTGGACCTCACCCTAGCATCTCCCTTCCTTTGCCGTTGTGGTCCTTCCCTGGATTCTATTCTCCAAGAAGATGGTGATCCCGATGATTGCATCTTCAAAGGAGGAGATGGAAGTATTGTTGCACATGATGAACCATGGGATCCTCTCGGTTGTCATCAATTTGCAGTGCCTGCTGAGCAGAACTCACAAGCGACCATGAGAGCAGCCATGCGATCGTGAAGATCGTTGTGTAGATAGCCATCCAAGAGACACATGCATGGCATATAGGAGAATAAATAAGTACTGTGCCGCTTGTTTACCTCGGCAGCCCGATGGTCATTATGAGGGTGGCCCACTGCTCCCTTAACCTCTGTAGCGGGCTCGTCGTCTGCCTATCATCAGTTTTGTGTACATGCACGTAGTGTTGTGAGGAGAAGAAGGGTCAAATCTGGCTGGAGGCCATGTAACCCTTGGGTTGTGGGGAAGTATGGAGCATTACAAAAGCAGTAACTACAGGAAAAGGAAAGACAACTCGTAAGTGGCTCTGAAGAAAACTAAGACAATAATGAATGGCGTGGCTTCACCATCATCGAGAGAAAGGAGTACCCTGGACGGGTTCCCTCCATAGCTGCGGGAACTGAGCTTGCTGAAAAAGGCTACCATCCCTGCAGTAGAAGCCTGGCTCTGAATAAGCTGGGGCAGCACCCTGTTGAACGCTCACCGGGGAAGGTGGATGCAACGCTCCTCCAAACTGTCGCTGCCAACGGAGGCCCTGCCCGGTATTTCAAGGCCGGAAAGAAAGCCAGGTCGATCTAGACTCCAATCTCACCAGCAAAGCAGCAAATGGTTCGGTTCCTGTGGAATCGAGCGGAACAAACGACCAGCGGTGCCGGAGATAACTTTGCCGGAACGGAGACAGAGTTGTAGGGACGACCATGGCACTGCGGCCGCCAGCGATGTAGGGAACCACACCAGAGGCGCGAGCATAGCCCGACAGAATACCAGAGAGCGGCAGAGGTGATACGGACCGACGCAGAGGCAGTGAGGGGTCATCGTTTTATTTATTGTTGGAGGGATAGAGGAGTCCGTGGTTTGTTGCTGGAAACGGTTCAGTGTTAACGAAATGTCATGCATCCGCTTTGTTCCAGAAGAGGAGTTACATCTATAAATGGATGGGGCTGCTAACAAAACGCCGTGCTTTTGTTGTAATTGTAAATTGAACAGATGACATGCCATGCATGCTGACGTGGACTATTTGCATGTTGAGAGAATGCTTTGTAGTGGGGATCAACTTCTTAAGAATGTAAGATTCAGAACGTACAAGTAATAGAATTCTAGCATTGGGGTTACCACCATTATACCGGCTTGTAGTTGTCCATTCAACATTGCTGCTTGATATGATATTTTCAAAATAGTGGTGGTCATGTTACTTGAAGAGCGTCACATTGAATCTTATACCTTTTTTTTTGTTGGTAAATTTTATACCATTCTATCCTATCCTTTTGCTTGTTGACATTGTAGTTTATCTACAGGGCCAGGCCGGCGAAATCAGAGGCCCCGTGCCAATCTCTAAAATAGGGCCTATCTCATTGCAAAAATATAGTCTTCTTTATCACTTAACAAATGTAATTTTTAAACAAGATATGGCGTCTTCTTTGTGAGAGC